GTCCTCCTGTTAAATTATCATGGGATTGACGCAGCACAACTTCCCGTAACTTCCTCGGTATAACTGTTTGCCAAGTCGTCACTTTCCCATCTGTAGTTTCCCATCTCCATACTAGAATACCATCTTCAAGCTTTAACTGGACCCATTGCACCCAATAGTGCTTTGTCACAAGGCTTAGACTAGACATCTTCTCCCAAGCAGGGTGCACAACACTTGCTTTTAGGAAATCAATCATTGGCTTCAAATCTTGGTCTCATGTTCTGCCTTGATATCGATACCTGGTTCCACTTCACCATCATCAACTCTTTCAGTCTGCTTGACTTCAACTTGATGACACCTAATTAGTTCAACCCCTCTTTTAACAGTTACCGGAACTTGGCCTTTGTTATTCCCAAACGTCATTTTATCAAAATCAATTACAAACTTCCTTGGTAGTAGATAGTCCAATCCTAATATGCATTCGTCTTCAATGTCAGCCAAGTATACTTTGTGTCTATTATGCCCATGAGCTCGATAGTTACCGACACTGGTCCCCACAACCTTGCAGAATGTCCTGTCACACCACAGAGCTTCTTGTACAGCTTCTGGTACTCCTTTGTTATCCAGCACCTTAATGCTCACAAGGGTTTGCTGAGATGCAGAATCTATGACAAAGTTGCACCTTTGGCCATCTAGCTTCCCTGTCACGTAGATACTATGAGTGCTTGCCATTTTACACTTAGCTGTTGGGACTTTCACGATGGAGGTTGGTGGGCATCCCTTAACACCAACCACTACTGATTTCCCGAAGCTGACTTATTGGTGGTATTTTTCTTACACTGGCTCCTCAGATGTCCTTGCTCCCCACAGTTCCAACAGCCTTTCTGGGTAGCAGCCTTTCCAGCTGTATCATCTCCCCTTTGTTGAAGTTTCCAGCAACGAGCTCTCTTGTGCCCAGGTTTGTTACAGTGCTAGCAAAGTCCCTCAAACTTCTCTGAAAGCTGACCTTTTCTGGCCTTGAATCGAGATGACTGTACCAACCTTGGTACCTCTGTGCTGGACTTAATGTAGGATTCAAATTCGAGAGCTCTGGCCATTGCATCCTGCATGGTAGAGGGGTGTGCTTGCTTTACTTGTATCTTAAGTTCTGGACTGTCCAAGGCATCTACGAACTGATCCCTCAGCAAAAACTTGAGGAGATCGGGTGGTGCAGTTGGGTAGGCCTTGTATGCCATGCTTTCCAAGTCCTGAGCCAGCTCTTGCAGGCTCTCCCCTTTAGCACGGACTCTCGTTCTAAACCTAGCCCTGTAGACTTCTGACTGGTTTTGGGTTCCATACCTGAGTTCTAGAGCCTCTACCAGTGCTCTATAGTTGTGTCTGTCGGCTGCTGTCAACTGTCCAAGTATTTCCAGTGGTTGTCCCTTCAAGCTCGTTGCCAGATATACTGCTTTCTGCTCCTGTGTCCAGCCATTCATTTCAGCCAGTAGCTCAAATTGTGCTCTATATGCTTCCCACGGTGCTTTCCCATCGAATTCCTGTGGCTTGCTTCGCACTGGATCACTCCTATTACTGACATTCATATCTAGGATGTGACTTCTAACATGGCTGAAGATGTCTGCATTAGGGTTTAGCTGCAGGGTCTGGGAGGGGCTTGCCACTGTCTGGGGCTGGTTAAGACGATGGCTAATGTATCCTCCTTGTGTAAAAGACAATAAATCGTCCTTTAATGTATCTAATTCGCTTTTAAATTTACTAATGTTTTCCATTTGTACTTCTTGCCACTGTTATTGGCTTTCCTGTAGTTGCTGCTGTTTTTCTTCCTGTTTCCTTTCTTGTTCCAGTTGCCACTGCTGTAATTTTTCTTCTTGTTTCTTTTCTTTTTCCTCCAACAACTGCTGCAATCTCACTTGTTTATTTTCTTTCTCCTCCAACCACTGCTGCAGTCTCTCTTGTCGTTCTTCTTGTTTATTTTCTCGTTCTTCTTGTTTCTTTTGCTGTTCTTGTATTGCTGCCATCAAATCTGCTAAGCTTTAGTTTGATTTTCCGCCTCTCGTTTCCATTTTTTTTATGTCCCACTCTCTGACACCAATTTGTTACGTCTCCGTTCGTTAGTTAATTTTCCGTAACTTCGTTC